CGGCCCCCACCCACAACTCTTTCTCCAGTATAATCAATTATATGATTGGTGCTGCATCCGTTTCTCGTCCGAAATTGGAAGTTTATCAATTTTGCTCCAATTTCCACCCCACTCACCTTTACCTGGTCCATTTCTGACTCCTACCTTCCCTTCCTCAACATTTCTGTTTTCATTTCCGAGGATAGACTGGCCACCATTATCCACTATAAACCCACTGATTCCCACAGCTACCTGGACTATACATCCTCACACCCTGCTTCCTATAAAGACTCTAATCCATCTCCCAGTTCTTCTGTCTCCATCAAATCTGTTCTGATGAGGCCAGCTTTGACAAAGGGGCCTCTGAAATGTCCACCTTCTTCCTCAATCGAGGATTCCTCAGCACTGTAGTTGACAGGACCCTCAGCCAAGTTCAACCCATCTCCTGCACTTCAGCTCTCACTCCCTCTTCCCTCCCACAATAGGGTCCCTTTTGTCCTCACCAACCATTCCACCAGCATTCCCATTCTGAGGATCCACCACCTCCAACCAGATGCCACCACCAGACACATATTCCCCACTCCTTCCTTGTCAGCCTTCCAAAAGGACCATTCCCTCCTTCACTCCCAATACCATCCCACTGCACCTTCCGAGGTGTATTAGCTACCTGTTTACTTCCTCCCTCCTCAGTCTCCAAGGGCCGAAACACACCTTCCAGGTAAAGCACACTTTACCTGCACTTCATTTAATCTAGTCTTCTACACGTGCAGCTCACAATGTAGTTCTTCTACAAAGATCATAGAATCCCTACAGTGTGGAAGCAGACCATTCAGCCCATCAAGTCAACACCAACCGTCTGAAGAGCATCCCATCCAGAAACATACCCCACCCAATAACTCTGCATTTCCCATGGCTAATCCACCAAGCCTGCACATCCCTGGACATTATTGGTAATTAAACATGGCCAATTCACCTAAACTGCACATCTTTGGACTGTGGGAGGAAACCCGGAACACCCGGAAGAAACCCACGCAGACACAGGGAGAATATGCAAACTCCACACAGCCCGAGGGTGAAATTGAACCCGGGTCCCTGGTGCTGTGAGGCAGCAGTGCTAACCACTGATCCACCATGCCATCCCAGGAAACAATATTGGGGAAAAAAGCATAGTCTGGGTGACCACTTTGCAGAATGCCTACATTCTGTCTGCAGAAAAGACCTTGAGCTTCCAAATAAAAACCGAAAGAACTGCGGACAGTGTAAATCAGAAACAAAAACAGAAATTGCTGGAAATGCTTAGCAAGTCTGGCAGCATATGTGAAGAGAAATCAAAGTCAACGTTTCAGGTCCAGTGACCCTTCCTCAGAACAGCTGGAGCTTTCAGTTGCCTGCCACTTCCACACACCATGTTCCCTAGTCAACACTCTTTCTCAGGCTTGCTGCAGTGCTCCAGCGAAGCTCAGCACAAGCTGGAAGAACAGCAACTCTTTTTCCGCTTGGGAACTCTATAGGGTTCTGGATTCAATATCAAGTTCAACAATTTTAGTGCTTAAGGCACCTTCTCCCATGTCCTTACCCCAGCCCCCACACATCAGGTCTTGTTATCACATGGTCTGCTATTACACACTAACTATTGTTAGCCACTAATAGTCCCCATCAGCAGCCGTTCATCCTCCCAAGCTGACTGTTATCCACTCTGTTATCTGTCCAACTGTTGTCTCTCTTTGGGATCTGTCTCCACCTATCGTTTACTCCTTAACCCCTCCTTCACCCTATCTTCTGCATAAAAACCAACATTTTCCTAGCTACCATCAGTTCTGATGAAGGGTCACTGGACCCAAAATGTTAAGTCTGATCTCTTGCCACAGATACTGCCAGTCTTGATGAGATTTTCCAGCAATTTCTGTATTTGTTTTGGTTCTCTTGGTAAATGTACTTCTAGACTCCAAGTTGTTTCCCCTAACTGGGGAGTCAAGAACCAGGAGTACAATTTCAAAATAGGGGTTTTGCCATTTGTACAGAGATGAAGAGAATTTATTTAACTTAGAGGGTGTGAATCTTTGGGATTCTGTACCACGGTGGGCTGTGAACAATTATGGATATTGTATGAGTAAAAAGCATTGAAGTGTTCGATCAGCCATGATTATATTAAATGGCAGAGCAGGCTTGATGGGCCTACTCGACAGGCCTACTCTGTTTCTATGTTTCATTATAAGCAAAGGAACTCAGTCCATAAAGATGAAATGCTTCGGCTGGGAGATATTCAATAGCGGGAAGAGGGTGTATAGGAAGAAATTGCAGCTCGTGCAAATTCACTTATCACCTGATGTCCACATAAAGACATTTTCCACTGGGAATGCTGAACTATTAAGAGTGCAAGTTTTAACTCATTCTCCTGAGCTTAGCATTAAGGCTAATTGTAAAATCACAATCAATTACTAAAAACCTTCAGACTGCGTGCTTTAGTGCGGCATTTTATCTGCCTGGTTATTAGGGGAACTCATGGGTCAGAAAATACGAAACAGCTGAACGGTCTGGACCCGAAACGTCGACTCACCTGCCCCTCTGACAATGCCTGACGTACTGTGTTTCGCCAGTTCCACATTGTATTGACTCTGACTCCAGCATGTACAGTTCTTGCTATCTCTGTCAAAAAATAGTATTTGGGACATTGATTCTTTATAGAATATTTGCTTGCCCGGTATGGTAGAGAATAATGGAAACTAAAACTGATGTTGATCCTCACAGTAAGCATTTGTAGACAGTGGATTTAATAATAGTTTTGATTTCAAAAAGGGACTTAGTGGAAGGACATTGCATCCAAACAAACTGAGGTTGTGGAAGCTGTGCTCAGTTAAATATGTTGGACTCCTAACCAGATTCACCACATGATCATTGGGTGCAAGCAGAAATTTGGCTGCAGGCAGGAACTCATGCGAAAGAGATCATCAATGATAGGAGGGTATTTTATTGCATCACACTGGAAGGCTATGAGGAGAATTCTGATGATTAATATTCCCCCCAAAATTAGTGGAATGCTGAGGAGAACTAAGAACTTCTTGCAAGATCTGAAGAGAACACTGATTTCCTTTTGTACAAGAGGTACAGTAAAGACATGACAGTGTTTGTAAACTTACTGACCCTCATTTGGCCTGTCAGCTCACCCTGCTGTGTTTCTGATGTTGCACAGCAGAACATCAGACTCAACCATGCAAGATGTTTTAAAATTAATTTCTGGTGCAGGTGAAATTACCAGACAATGGTATTAACTCTTTTCAGCAGGAGTCTCCACTATGGCCTGCATCTCTGTTGTTATTATGGCAATCAGGAAGGAAGCATTTTTCGATCTCAAGACTTTTGTACTTAGCTGACGTAGGGCAGGCGTAGTTAAAATCTCGGCCAATGGGTCAGAATAGATTCAGGCTATGTTAAATCTATGTAGTGTAACTGATTCTCCATCTCGCTAATCACTGTGCTGACCTACAAATTTTAAACTGACACCTGCAAATTCCAAATTCAGAGGTGTGTGACCTCTCACACTTACAATGCCTCACAAAAGGTTTACATTACAGGTAGATGCCAAGCTCACGGAAAGCAATCTGAAGGACATTGCAGCCACCATCATCACTCGCACGTCTCCAAATATTGTTATCACAATGTTGACTACGACATGCTTGGCATACTATCAGCTGTTGTAGATTGAGTAATGCAAGGTAATTTTCTTGGAATACATGATCTTAAAACTCAATAAATTCAAAGGACATAATCATTTATTTCAGGTCATGTTAGTGTAAAAATATTTGTTGTTGCAGTAGTCTTAAGTTACAGATGCTGTAAGGAGAGTACACATCACTTCAACATCGCAGCAAATTCACATCTTTGCAGCAGAAAGCATGCAATATTCAGACAGATTCAATACCAATAAACATTTGGTATGAGAAAAATGATGAGTTTAATTTAAGCAGTGCTTTGTCAGTTAATCTGCACAGGTCTGAAAAACTAACCCATCCACTACTCCAACTCTATTAGACAGAGAAATAGTCCTCAAAGCTTCACTTCTCAAAACAATCTGTAGTTCCAAATGCCTCAAACATCTGGAGACATCCATTTAACAGTGCCACTATGCTTTGGTGTGTAGCGTTGTTAGTAAAAAGCCCCAAAAAAGTAACTCTTTGACCTATGTAATCTGCAAATCAGATTTGGTCAAGAATTGCTGTGATTATTTAAAGGAATAAAACTAACAAGATAAACTTAAATATAGATAGATTTTCACGTGATGACACATCTTAATTGGAGACACTGTTTCATTTGTTTTTCTAAACAAAACATTTAATTTCATGTTTTGTTACATTGTAAGCAATGAGATACAGTATGTTGTGCTTCAGGTGGTAGAAGATTCGGAGAATGCTCCCAAAATATCCCAAAGATAATCCAAGAGCCATTCACCTCAAAATAATTTACAATTTGTTTTGAAAAAAGGAAAATTACATTAAGGATAAATTGTACAGCCAATCCAGAAATATAGGATCATGGGGCCTGACCCTGCATAGTTCATTGTACTAAAACGTTAAACATTCATTGAATGGATAGCACCAGCCTCTCAAGGCTGATAACTTACCACGCCCCCACCCCTCCCCAACCCAACCCAATCCAACTCCTGCATTTGTTGACCAGACAGTGCTGGTCACTGAACTGTTAGAAATACATGGTTTCAGTTTCTTACTGTGATCTCTAGAAACCAGTGACTAAGACAGTACATGCTGAAGCACACAACTGAACATGAGAAAGTCAATCCCATTGTGTTTTTAGTTCTGACTTGGACATGTCACTGAATAAAGTGCTGGAATTGAGGTTCCCAATTCCCAGCAATATATACAGACATTCTTAAGGTAATATTCATATACAGCAGTGTTTACACTGGTCATGGTTGGGGAAACAAAAAGGAAATTATATCTAAATTCTAAAGTATTTTGCTAAAGATTTGCACAGCAACTTGAAAATGCATTCAAGTAACACTTCAGTGATTTGTTAGTGTCTTTAATTGGACCAATCAAACCCTTTCTATTAAAGCTTATTCAAATGTTCAATCAGAAATACACATCCAATGTTTGTAAGATCATCTGGCGGCAAAGTGGGCAGTTGCGTTGGTAGATGGGCTGCTCCAAGAGAATAGCTGTGCAACCTTGACAGAGGCATAAGTGTCGACATGGGAGCAACAAAACAGATTTTGCTTGGTCCTGACAAATAACACATTTTTTTCGTTCTTCTTGCTCCTTCAAAAGCATCCAAAGATTATTTTCCACAGGAACATTGCTATCATTGTCTTTGCTGCCTGATGGTTTTGCTACTGAATGCAAAGATCCATTGCCAGCTTCTGGTCCACATACAGATGTCTCAGCCATGGTCAAATGTTGCTCCCTTACAGGGTTACCATCTCCTTGGGCTGGGCTGGGATCTGTTTGCTGTTCTAACTGGATAGTTAACTGTTGGTCCATGATTGTTTGGTCCTCCAAGTTCTCATTATGATCAGTCTGGCGCTGCCTTCTTTGGTCAAGGGGCCAATTACTGATATAACCAGCATTCAACCCTTGTAATTGTTGACTGTATATTCGTCGCCACATCTCAGAGTTGGCCATCAGTTGCACAGTAGCCACTACTAATCCATAGATATGTGCAATATTTCTCCTGACCCAATGAAAATTTGGTGCAACGCTCAAGTATAGAGTCACCTGATTAGTAATCCTCAGTATTATCTCTGGATTTGCATATATTGTTGTCGTGAAGATTACAACAAAAGTGATTGCCAACCCATACAGATTCAGGAGAAAAACATCAGCCAACAGTTTGGTGAGGGATATCAGGACTTCAATGACAAACTGGCATGGAGTCCACAGCAGGATCACATTGCCAAGGACACTGTTAGACAAACTGGTGAGAACTGAAGCAAAGACATCCGATACTCTGATCAGGGGGTCCCACAGTACCGTGACAAGAGAAAGGAGATTCTGGGTTCCAATGAGGAACAAGTTGATTAAAGTATTTACAAAGTATGCAGATAGGCTGATCATGATCCCCACAGCATCCCAAACCTGCTTGAGAAAGAGGTGACCAGAGCTGAAAGCGTTGGCAAATCCCCTTTGCAGCATCTCTCGTCCCCTCAAGCTCAGGTAAGAAAGCAGGTGCCCCACCAACTTCAGAGTTTCTGCCAGGGTGAAGCCCACTCTCAGCAAACTGCACAGCAGGTTGAGAATGAACTGCAAGGTGCAGTGACATAACTGGGCCGCCCCCAGTACCAGGAGCCCCAGCAGGTTGTAACACAGGGTGAACAAACACGCCACCGCACCAGGCAAGCAGAGCAGCAAATGCAGGATGCCCGAGACAGCAGCGACCGCAGAGGAGACCAGCCAGAAATTAAGGTCCAGCAGCAAGCACAGCAGGTCCAAGGCCTGGCCCAGGCCACTGAACAGGGAGATGAGAATGCCGGCCATTGCAAACCCTAGAGGCCGGTCTCACGGGGCCCCGGTACAGGGCCCAGGTCACACACAGCGTCAGCCCCAACCGTAAAATTCAAAAATAAACTGCCAGCCCAAAGCAGCCGATCGCCACGCACCGATAGGGGCCGGGAGGAGCGTCAAATCCTCGATCGAAACCTTTCGAAAGGAAGAGAGCTGCGTGACACAGACACGCTGTCTGAGGTAATTTTTAAATAGAATAAGGTTACAATTTCAGTCCTTTTATTGTCTCCCTCTGTAGATTTTAGAATATAAAAACCGTTTCTGGCCTCTCAATTCCACTCAACAAGATCCTGATTGATTTTTCCACAGTATGATTCCATTGACACTAAACCAATAACCAAAAACAAATTTTCCAAATGACACCCTTGACAAAACCAGTAGGCAGGACTTTTTTTTTTAAAAGGTTTACTTTAGCAATAAAAACAAATTCAGTGTAAATTAAACATCATTTTACGGGTAACTATTTCTGTGTACACTGAGCAGCAGTATAATTATATTTCAATCGCATTGTATAATCTGATGCCCCCATTCTACAATCACCATCACATCTGGAAATCAAACATGGTTCAATGATCAAAAGACAAAGATCAGAAAGAAAAAACAGATACAGCTGGAGAAACTCAGCAGGTCTGGCAGCATCTGTGCAGAAAAAGGGTCCAGCAACTCTTCAGAACAGAGTGATGAGAGCAGGAAAGCATACAAAAAGCAGCACTAGGGATACTCAGTCATACAGCATGGAAACAGGTCCTTCAGTTCAACCCACCCATGCTGACCAGATATCCCAATCTGACTCAGTCCCATTTGCCAGCATTTGGCCCATATCCCTCAAAATACTTCCTATTCATATACCCATCCAGATGCCTTTTAAATGTTATAATTGTACCAGCCTCCACCACTTCCTCTGGCAGCTCATTCCGTACATGCACCACCCTCTGCGTGAAAAAGTTACCCCTCAGGCCTTTCTTAAAATCTTTCTCCTCTCTCCTTAAACCTATGCCATCTAGTTTTGGACACCCCCACCATAAGAAAAAGACCTTGGCTATTCACACTATCCATGCCCCTCATGATTTTATAAACTTCTATATAGTCCCCCCTCAGCCTCCGACCCACCCACCACCACTTTCCCCTGTTTGGCTGAGCTCGTCCTCACCCTCAACAACTTCTGTTTTAACTCCTCTCATTTTTTTCAGGTCAGAGGGGTGGCCATGGGTACCTGCATGGGCCCCAGTTATGCCTGTCTCGTCGTAGGCTATGTGGAACATTCCGAGTTCCAGTCCTATCCTGGCCCCCACAACTCTTCCTCCAATATATCGATATCATTGGTGCTGCTTCCCTCTCTCATCCGGAATTAGAAAAGATCATCAATTTCCACCCTGCCCTCGCTTTCACCGGCTCTATCTCTGGATCCTCCCTTCCTTTCCGCAACATCTGTTTCCATTTCTGGGGATAGACAGGCCACTAATATTCACTGTAAACCCACCGACTCCCACAGCTACCTGGACTATACATTCTCAGATCCTGCTTCCTGTAAAGACTCCATCCTATTCACTCATTCCCTCTGTCTCCGTCGCATGTGTTCCAAAGAGGCCAACTACACAATGGAGCCTCCAAAATGTCCACCTTCTTCCTCAACTGAGGATTCCCCAGCACTGTTCTTTGTGGTTCTTTACTCAGAGAGTAGTAAGGGCGTGGAATGCCCTGCCTGCAAAAGTAGTAGACTCGCCAACTTTAAGGGCATTTAAGTGGTCATTGGATAAACATATGGATGATAATGGAATAGTGTAGGTTAGATGGGCTTCAGATTGGGTTCACAGGTCGGCGCAACATCGAGGGCCGGGGGGCCTGTACTGCGCTGTAATGTTCCATGTTCTATGTTGTCAAAAGGACCCTCAACCGGGTCCGACCCATCTCCCAAACTTCCACCCTCACCCCTCACTCCCCTCCCAAAACAACGACAGGGTTCCCCTTGTCCTTACCTACCATCCCACCAACATTCACATCCAGAAGATCATCAGACGCCATTCCTGCCACCTCCAGCGAGATGCCACCACCAGACACATATTCCCCTCCACTCCCTTGTCCACCTTCCGCAGGGACCGTTCCCTCCAGGAAACCCTGGTCCACTTTTCCTTCACTCCTAACATGCCTCCATGGCACCTTCCTCTGCAATTCTTGAAGGTGTAACTCCTGCCCATTTACCTTCTCTGTGCCCAATATCCGCAAGCCCAAACATACCTTCCAGGTGAAGCAGCACCTACACTCTTAGGGCCTGAACTCTCTCATGTCCTGGATCCCAACCCCACACAGCAGGCCTTGTTAACTCATAGCCTGCCATTACACACTACCTACTGTTAGTCACTAATAGTCTCCATTAACAGCTATTCACCCTTTCAGCCAGATTGTTATCCACTCCTTTTTCTGTCCAACTGTTCTTCGCTCTCTTTGGGCTCTATCCCCACCTATCATTTACTCCTTACACACTCCCCCCACTCTATCTTCTGCATATAAACCAATGTTTTCCTAGCTACCATCAGTTCGGAGGAAAGGTCATTGGACCTGAAACATTAACTCTGATTTCTCTTCACAGGTGCTGCCAGAACTGCTGAGCTCTTCCACCAATTTCTGTTTGTTGTTCCTGTTTGGTACCTGTTGGGGTGCTGCTGCTGCTGCATTGCCACCACCCTGACAGTAATACTGCCTGTGATCATCATGAATGACAATTCTTCATCCTCCACTTCCAATGACCAAGGCTTTTATCTTCTCTTCGGTCAAAACAATTTAGAATTTAAGTTCTGTGAAAAGATCAACGCATCATAAAGAGGAATATTGCTTTGACTTTTAAAATACGCAAAGGTGAAGACAAAATAAAGAGAGCAAATGTGGAGTGCAAGCTATTGGCACAGTTTCGTTAGGTTAGAGATAGGAAGAATCAAAGCCAACAAAGGATTTAAAATGAGGACATTGAAATACTTGGGGACTAGGAGTCAATATAAGAAGTAAATATGAACAAAGGTAATGAACTGCTTGGATTTTGTCCAAAATTTGTGTAGCAGAATTTTGGATGAACTGAAGTTTACAGAGATTGAAAAATGGGAAAGCAGCTAGGAAAGCTTTAAAATTTGGGCCTATCAGTGAAATAGGCAATGAGAAGAGTTTCAGTGGAAGATGGGCAGGAGCATTAAATACTACAGAGGAGGAAGTAGGCAGCCTTTGTGATACAGAGTACAGTAAATGTTGTAAGCAACTCAATTCTCATGCAATCAGCAATATTTTCAAAGAAATCCCCCTTTTTATAAAGTTTGTTCAAAAACATCTATTTGAAATTGATGCACCAAGTTCTGCTGCACGTATATTCACACACTATACAGTAGTTTTCCCAGCCACACTAACAGTCTGTTGTCTTCCCTCAGAGTTTCTAGAACGCTGCAATAAAACTGCACTGCGCCTTTGACATTTAGAGGACATTTATTCCAAGAATAACTGAGTGAAATGTATTGGGTTTCTAGAAGAGTTCTCATGCAGCCAGCAGATATATGTAATTGGCAAACCCCACCCCCAACCCAAAAGATTCCACATACTGGATAACAGGGGAGTTAGTGTACATGGGGTCCAAAGTGTCTCAGAATCAAATATGACAATCGTAAATAGTCTGGCTCAACTTGAAACAAAAACCAAGACAAAGGATAACAATGTCAGAAGAATGCTTAATTACTTCATTTGCTGCAAATTCAACTGGAGGAAACTTTTCTGGAATGACTTTTCTTGTTAAAGTATTGCTCTTTACAATTTTCACATACTAAGCCAAAGGAATTACAATTATGCAAATGAAGTGATGTATAATAAATAAATAAAGTAAAACTAAGTGCTGTCCAAAAGCCCCGAGCCCAGGGTAGCCAGCGCCTCATTATCCAGTTGTAAAATGAGGTCAATCCTGGACTGAACCCAGAAGTAATTCTATTTCAATGATCTTTGGGTGTTTATAACAACTTTTGCTATAGCATTAAGGTTTTATCAAAAATACAGCGCAAGTTTGCAACCAGAACACATCTTTTAACTTGCTTGTGCTCAGTGACACGAATGTCATAACTAACTTTGGCCTTGGGTCTTACAATGGATAGACAGATATTCATTATGATACAAACACTACATTCCCCTGCAGTAAATACATCCAACGAATGTGCTTTGGGGAAGGCTTTACTATTGCTATAACCTTGCAACCAGTCAATAGTAGACAATCTTAAGATTGTAAAAGCAAGCACCAACAGAACTAGAATTTGCAAACATAATTTAAGTACAGTACAATTCAGTACTGGTTAAATCTAATAATCTAAATACAATGGTAAATTCGAGTTTCATGTCGTAAAGTCACATATGTGCCCTTTAATATCTTACATAATTTACTGTTGTGAGATTGTTTACTTTTGTTGCATTTACTATACAAGAAGCTATGGAGTTTATGTTAAAAGAATATTGGTTAAATTCTGCTCATTGCAGGTTCTAAGGAAATACCAAAAGATTGGGCAGGCACTATACTGTTCAGTTATTTTATCAAGTACAGTTGATTATGAAATAACTCCACAGAGGCCAGTATCCCTTCACCAAGTCACCCACTATTTACTTGACACTGATCCAGCACCCTCGGGGCCAACTCTCAGAGTGAACAAAATATGTCAACCGGTGTTCCCTGATTAGACCCGATTAACAGCCCCAGTCAGGGAACTCATACTCTATGGGGTCTACCTGCCTGACTTTGTTACAATCACTACAATCCCTCCCCTTCTGAGCCTGAGGTCATAGGCCGTTTTCTTTTAGTTCCTCCTGGGGATTTATTCAGGAATTCCTATGCGGAGTGTATGGAATGCGTCAATCCATTGGTGAAGTGTTTCAGTCTATGTTGTAGCTTCTTGACTAGCCTGTGTGAGCTATAACATAGACTGAAAGACCTCATCAACGGATTGACACTCTCCTTACACTCCGCACAGGAATTCCTGAATAACATCAGAAACATAAAAATCGACAAGGATGAAATGATGGTCCCTTTCAGTGCTATGATACTAT